AAGATTAGAGGTGTTACGAGAGAGTAACAAACATAAAAAGAAGGAGGGGAGATAAGGACGATAGATGATTGATAGGAAAGAAGAAGCAAACCACACCAGAGCACCCGCCAACCACCCACGTCTAAATTGTGAAATAATGTTGTGTTGTCGTAAGATTTTGAACAACAAAAAAAAACAAACAACTTCCGTACCCCTTTTTAGGGAGCCGAACGTACAATTTGGATAATATGTCATTGCAGATAAGGATTAATCATGGATACACGGCTAATGAGTACAATACCCTTAATGATATTAAAAAAATAATTCCTAACAGTCAACATGGACGTAAAAGACACCTACATTAAAACACACAACAAAAACGGCAATTTAACAAGACAGACCGTCATAGTCCAACACGATTCAGTTTATTCACACACTCACGTTCACGCACATGCATATATAAACACATATACATAAGTACCAAAACCCCCCAACAAAATCAAACCCCCAAACAATCCCACCGCAAATAAACACGCGCACATATCGAGCGAGAACACGAAAGGAATGTTGTGAAGGCCGCTTACCCATCACTGACGTTCCAAAAAGAGCAAAGAGGAATGTATTCCTTTTCGTCCACCAGCTGCAATATAAGAGACAGAAAGTGTTGAACAGTTATCATAAAATTAGAAATATCCAAACTAGAAAAAAGTTTGAGCATACCTAAGATTATAGAGGTAGGATGGTGTGGCTTCTGATAATAATAATGATAATAACAACAATAATAATAATAATAATAATAATAATATAATAATAATAATAATAATAATAATAATAATAATAATAATAATAATAATAATAATAATAATAATAATAATAATAATAATAATTACATTTATATAGCGCATATCCGCACCCTACAACATGCTCTATGCACTTTACAACTATTATTGCCCCAGCAGACCCTGAGACACTCAGAAACATGCTCGGCTTCCCAGGAAGCATACACTATTATACAGTTCAAGATGCAGATTTCACGCTCCCAAACACTAACGAATTGACAGGATCTTTCACTGTTTACAGCCGATATCTACCCTAGTGTATACGGTTTGTGACATGAGAAGGTTTGTTTAAGCACTACAGTACTGGCGTCTGTGGTGTATCAGTCAGCTGCTTTGCCGTCGTACACAGGAGACCGTAGTTCGATTCCAGAGTGGGGAGACATTTTCATCGAGTATCTCAGTATCTCGGTTTTTCTGCAGGGATGTTGTATGTATCCTTCACAGGCTGGGTTGGCCCTGACAGGCAAGATCGGAAGCCTGCCTCCTAAATGATCTAAATTGTGTCAATGGGGGCGTAAAAATACCTGCAGTAAAATTTAAAAAAAATAAACACTAGTTACATTAAGTTACAGCCAGTTACCTGAATGTGTTTCATTGTGAAGGAGATAGGTTTGGGAAGCTTCATAATGTGACCATCTACACCAAGAGAGGCGCTTAGGATGTAACTGGCTATCTTGGGACCCTCTTCTTCTTCCTCTTCCTCCTCCACCTCTTCATTGCTTTCTTCTTCATACACCTGGTCTGTGTCCATCTCTGTCTTCCTTTCCTTTACAGAACCCACGCGCACAACCTCCGGATCATCATGAGGTGATCCTGAGGGCATCTTTTTGCCTTTAGCTTTCTTATGTCCTCTTTTCCTGCCTCCCATGATATCGGCCATAGAGTAGTGGGTCATGAAGACAGCTTTGGCTAGCTTTCCTGTAAGTATAGGAGCAATATATTGATGTAACTTGCGGTTGAAATGTTTGTGTATGTGTATGTGTATGTGAAAGAGAGAGAGAGAGAGAGAGAGAGAGAGAGAGAGAGAGAGAGAGAGAGAGAGAGAGAGAGAGAGAGAGAGAGAGAGAGAGAGAGAGAGAGAGAGAGAGAGAGAGAGAGAGAGAGGTTTTAGTAAGAGTTTTACGGCACTTGCAACACAAAAGAACACCCAAATGCTGAAGATTAGAGGTGTTACAAGAGAGTCACAAACCCAAAAAGGAGAGATCAGGACAATGTTATGTGTTTGATAGGAAAGAAGGAGGAGACCACACCAGAGCACCCGCTTGTGTGTGTGAGTGCGAGAGTGAAGAGACTCGGGGGGGGGGGGGGGGGGCGCAAACATTTTTTACATTATACTTTTTATATTGTCGTGTTTAATAACTTGATATGACATTACTTAAAGACAAGACTCACCAACTTTCAAACTATAAACTTTCGAGCCTACCTTTGCTGACACTCTTGAGGGTTTCCACGGGGATAGAGAAGGTGTTTTCCGACTGCTCAGAGCCATAGACCAGTTCTTGTTTGTCTTCTTGTTCCAGAGTCTCCACGTCCACAACTCGAAGTTCAAGTTCTGGGAGGGGATTGTTGAAAGAACCATATTATAATTATTTTCAGTTATTTCAATGTTGAAACAACAAAGAATGGCAACAAATCTCCTACAAAAATCACCCCTCCCCTTAAAAAGAAGACTCATGACTGTGACAACATCGAGAGTACATTATAAGGCCAACAGCAGCAACAG